CATACATATTTATATATATATATATATATATATATATATATATTAATTTTAGCTTTCACATTTCCTTTTCTTGACGCGTATTATAAAAAAAGTTAAAATTTCAAGTGTTTTATGTGTTATATAACTGAGGAACAATCTCAATTAAATAGACCAAAATAGAGCAAGTCATTAAAGAAAACAGAGAGAAAAATAGAGCAAGTTAATGACACTATCATTTACATATAGAAGTTTTACTAAATAGGAGAATGAAATGAGAACAATAGTACAATATTATATACAAGTAATAGTGTAGTATTATTAACAAGAGAAAAAAATGGAAAAGACATGAACATAAAAAAAAAGATGAAAAACTCACTTAGAAATTCTTGAAGCACTTGAAAAGTCACTTCAAACAATCTTCCAAAATCTTATGGGTTTGGATGTGATTGTTTTATGAATTTGGTATTTATAGATACCACTAAAAAGTCCAGCAAAATCCCTTTAATACAACAATCCTTTAAAATCCCTATATTTTTGAATACTAATGGATTGTTTTTAAGTTGTAAAAAAGTCTCAAATGAATACCAATGGATTTTAATGGACTCTTTAAAAAATCTTGAAAATCCTAATTGAATACAACTTGATTGTTTTTAAGTGACAAAATCCTGATTGAATACCAATAGATTTTTTTACTCAAAAAGTCTTTTAAAATCTTATGAAATCCTAAACCAATACACCCTCCTAATACGTTACACCTCTATTTATCATAAATTCAATCGGACTCTCAAAAAGGTAAAAAAAAATATAAATTTAATTGGGTTAAAAAGAAAAACAATTTTTCAAAAGAAAAATGGTCTCTCTTTCGGTTTCCGACACTTCGCCCATGGCCACCTGAATTGTGATTTATCCAACCACACCGTTCCACAGTTTCATTTTTGGCTCTATCTTTTATTCGCAAATTAACCAAAAAAAAAAAAAAAACCGCCATCAACAAATTTGCAGGCATGAAAATTCTAAAAATATTCAATCTTCACTCTCTCTATTCCATTAAGAATGAATATATACCAACATCACACCACACCACCCACACGATTAATATTTTATCTTCTATATCTCTTTCACTGATCCTAATCCTAAACAAAAACAACAATTAACCTCTTTGTGTTTACAAAACAAATATACATATGGAGGGTAGTAGTTGCACTGCCACTTTCATTTCCGAGCATAGAAACAAGGAGAATGTTCCTCCAACATGTAACAAGGCCAAGACCCCAATTCCTCACATGATGTCCATATCTTTCAAGAACAAGAAGCAAGTTAATAGAATGACCAAGAGGGTTCCTCTTGCTGACATCACAAATATCTTCAACAATAACTCTCCTACTCTTTCACACCAACAACAAATTGGTATTCCTAGGAGGACATGCACACCTCGTTGCTCCAAAACATTAAGGATGACATTTAGATAGCTAGTCATTATATCATACCAATTTTCCATTTCTTTCCTTTTGCACTTCACATCAATTACAATCGTTATGATCTTGAAAATGCTGCCATTATGATCTTGGCTACTTTTCTTTCACCGCTACTCTTCGATCTGCAATTTTCCCCCTTGAAGATTGCTTGTTCGAGGAAAATTTATTTTTAATTTGGAACACATGCAAAGAATTGCATTATTTAATATGCTATATCCGAATTGTACACCTCCCATGTAATGCAATACATCGTATTTATGTAAAAAAATAATAATTATGTTATTATATGTTTTCTCTCTCAATCATTTTTTTTTCATATGCAATATGTAACTCATTTTCATAAAATAATTGGTTCCAGCTCAAGATGGATCACTCTTACATCTTTACAAAATAGTAAATTTATAACAACCCTTCTGTTCTTCATCGATCGAGAAACATAGCTTTCCCTCTCTTTCTCTTCCCGTAAAGTTTCACAACAATTGGTAGCGTTGCGATAACTCACTGGGTTCATGGCTTAGCAATTTCGTCATTGCAACTAGACCATGAATTGCACACTAGCAAAATTTCGTCACCGTGAAGGATTTCGTTATAGTGGCTCTCAAAGTGTGAATGGAACCTCATCCTCCATACCCAGCTGTGAAATTTAGAATTTTCTTTTCAAACACACATATTAAAACCTTTTTTTTTTTGTGGCAATATTTGATTATGTGCATTTTCATGACTCACATATGTTAATAAGGTCAAGCACATGTTATATTTTGTAATTAACTCAATCTAAATTGACACCATATGATATATTTGTAAATGAGTGTTAAAGACTCTTAAGTTATAAAATTTCTTGATCCTAATGTATGTTGTATAATATGTTCAAAATTAATACAATTTTTTTTTACTTTTTCCATTTTGAAATTTTATGACTTAGTTATACATAACATTTTAATTTGTACAACCTATTTTTGTCCCTCTCTTCTCCCTCTCCTTCTCCCTCTAACTCTCTATATAATTAAGTTATGAATAACAAAAAAAATTGTCATATATAGTGACACATTTTATAGAATCATAATATATATTACTAAAAATTTTGTGTGCCTCCGAAATTATTATTCGATTGTTGTGCAATTGACCTACTATGAACCAATGTAATTTGGTGGGTTTTCCAAACAACAAACCAATGAACTTTAACTCACACTAAGTTACTACTTCTTTACTCTTTTTTTTTTAACGTTTCACCGTGCATTTTCTAATTTCACGTTATCCAACAAAACATGCTACTGTTTGTGGCACTTTATTCAACAAGGTGCATGTTGTGTGTCTAGTTTGGGTATTTTAGGTTTGAGTTAAAATTCAAGTTGAATTAATGTTTGTTAGGTGGCGTCAATTATTGTGTAACAAAAGTTTAAGTGAGTCAAGTTATAATTAATATGTGATATTTGGACTATTACAATTAAGTTGAAAGAGTTGCACTCTAACTAACAATTATAAATTTTGGCTTAGTGGTAAGCGTTTATCCAATAATGAGTATTTGAGCCAAGGTTGTGTGCTTGATTCTCAACAAGAACAATTGCTAAGGGAAGACATTGTTTAACAAGTGACATAATTGTCCTATGATAAAAACCTAAGTGGATCAAGTCACAATCAACACGTGACGCTTGGCATGCATGCTCAATTCCTAGCAAGAACAATTGTTGAGGGGGGGATTATTTGATAGGTGACATCAATTGTCCTGTTGGAGACTTAAGTAGGTCAAGTCACATTCGGCACATGTTACTTGGACTGTTATGGTTAAGTAAAATAATTGTGTCCTAACTAATAATTATAATTTTGGCTTATTAGTAAGCACTCGATCTAACAATCAATTAAATTTATTTAATTTGAATTCGTTCTGATTTCAAAATCTTCATTGTCTAACTCAAACCAAATCAACCCGACGTTAATTGAGTTAGTTCGATTTGAGCAATTGAATATCTAATAAAAATTTTAAGCAAATTAAAATAATTTGTTTTCTCAAAGTAAACAATTTTTACAACATTAACTAAATTAAAAGATTGTCAAAAGTTAAATAAATTGATAGATTTGCAATATAATTCATAGTTTCTATTCTAACTCTATTTAAAGATGTCAAATACATTATAATATGTGAAGAAAACCCTTAATATATTGCAATATAATTCCTCTTAGTTTCTTATTTAAGGATTTTAGGAGTTTTTCTTTGGTAAGAGAGTTTGTAGGATTTCTTTTAATTTCTTATTTAATTTAATTTTTATTTATAATAATTATTTATGAATTAAATAATTATTTTTTTAAATAAATTATCAATAATTAAAAAATAAATTTATTATTACAATATAAAATATTTATCATAAATTTAAAATATAATTTGCATGTTTAAAAATATTTATTTATACAAATTTTGAATATAATTATATATTTAAACATAATATTAATTTATATAATTTATTATAAATTATAATTATCTATAAGATATATAAAGATGATAGTCTAATTCGTTTAAATAAATAAAAAAATATTAAAAATTAATTACTCTTACAAATATAAAATTCGAACTAAGATCTTAAGATTTGAAAATTAAATATAACACTAATATTAATCTAATAAATATTGATAATTTTAAATATTTTTATTAAATAACATATACAGAAATGTCTTAACCCACTAGTTAATATAAAGAAAATATAAAATCAATAAAACAAATGAAAGTTAAATTAAATAAATATTATTTTCGTTAAAGCATATAAGTATTAGATTAAGAAAGCCATGAAATTCATAATTATTGTGACCAGAACTTAAATTACATTAGAACAATGTATTTTTTTATTCTGATTTATTTATATTATTATATTCAACAAACTATTTTTTGTTGTTGGTATTTTCTAAAAGTTAATGCACATTGTTAGCTGTTTATATATACTAGCAAGAAAAAGGTATTTCGTGCTAACATTGTATTAAAAGAAAAATAAATAAATAAAGAAAAAGAATGAGAAGTTACTCATGAAAAAATAGTTATTGAAAAATAAACAAAAGATAAAATGGTTTATATAAAAATGGAAACCAAAAGTAGTTATTGAAAGTGGTATCTCCTTTATATATTAGTATATATTATTATATTAAACAAACTATTTTTTTTTGGTATTTTCCAAACTATTTGCGCTTCTCTCACTCGAATGGAGGGTGATATTGATAGAGACAATCAACGGAGCACAAAAAAGGTCAAGACGAAACAGGATGGAGATGCAAACGATACTACAATGGAGGACAACCATGGTGTTGAGATGCAGGATGCTGGACCCAAAAAATCATATGCTGAGAGTCTACTCTCTTCGGATGGAAACAAATGCTTTGCTGACTATACCCACCTTCTAAAAGAGATGGAGGACTATGAAGATAAATTCTTGGAGGAAGAAGATTCTATTGAAGACGTGGAAGGGGATCTTGACCCATGTCCAAAGATCCAAATCTCCCAAGAGGAGTTTGAGGAATGGTGTGCCCCTTGGAAGAATGCGTTGGTTATCAATGTTTTGGCCAGGCATGTCTCTTTCAAAGCTTTAGAACACAAGATTCATCGTGACTGGGCTAAGAATGGTGCAGTACGAATCATTGATATGCCCAACGATTACTTTCTGGTGCAGTTTAAGGAGGAGGAGAATTATAGACATGCGCTCTATGAGGGACCTTGGAAAATTGCTGATCATTATATTGTTATTCAGAGATGGAGGCCTTTCTTCACTGTCACTGCAACTAAAGTGAGAAAGATTGCTGCTTGGATTCGTATCCCCGGTTTGCCTATCGAATTGTATCATGACCGTTTCTTGTGGAGGGTAGGCAACAAATTGGGAACCATGCTCAAAATTGATAAGCTAACCTCCATTCACTCACGAGGCAAGTTTGCACAAATTTGCGTGGAGATTAATCTAAATAAGAAGCTGGTGTCAAAGATTGACATCATGGGTCATGTTTTAAAACTGGAATATGAGGAACTTCACTCAATATGCTTTTCATGTGGGAAGTATGGACATCGACAAAATCAATGTGCTGAGAATACAATGAAGACAACAGGAACAGTGGACATGGAGATGGACGCTGGGCATAATGGGGAGAATAACGACCTCCACAAAGCCCCTACAATGGAAGAATCCGTACATCTTCCCTCTAACACAACTATGGGTACTGAAACAGGCTCGAGCAGCTCGAAGCCAGTTGCGGGAGGTACGCTGGTAACTACCGACTCTGGCCCAAAATCGGAAGAGCTTTACGGACCATGGATGCTGGTGAAACATGGAAGAAAATCAGGAAAAAATCTTGCTTCTAAAGCAAGAACGGTTATCTCACAAGGTGGTACAGATATGACCCCTTCCCAAAACAATCACGTAGTAGAGAATCTGCATGTGCAGGATAAGCATAATGGTGGGCCCATGCAAAAAGTTTCGTTCCTGGATAAGATTCGCAATCAAGAAGGAGGAAAGAATCCTCAACGTCAACGTGGCAACACTTCCACTCAGAACCTCTCTGGGCATAAAAAGAAACACGTGATGATACATCACCATTCCAATATGCCTAGTATGCCTGTTCACCAGGAAATTACCCCTGTAAAGCCCTCTTCATCAACACACCATCATTATTCTTCCCCAAGGATGGACCAACATGAGAACACAAAGAAAGTTCTACAAGGGCTAAGAGAAATATCTTCGACCACCTATAATAAGAACTCTAGTTTGGACTTGAGTAGTGCATTTACGCATGTTGCTAGTCCAGACAAAGCTACACTAGCCTTTGCGAAAGCATTACGAAATCATTTTAATGATGGGAGAATTCAAGATAACAACGTTGAGGCTTCCTCTAAAGGAATGGTTGCAGATTTGCAATTAGATACTGCTCAGGATTCAGTGCCCAACCCCAACAATAATTCTCAATGAATTGGATGTCATGGAATTGTAGGGGAGCAGGCTCAAAAGGGTTTTCTTCATTGATGAATGATGTCATAAAGGAGTATGACGTGGGTGTGCTTTGTTTACTCGAAACTCACATCAATGGCAGGAGGGCCAAACAAGTTGCTAGTCGTATAAAGCTGGATGGTGTTCATATTGTGGATGCTCATGGGCAAGCAGGTGGTATCTGGTGTTTATGGGACTCCAAGAAATGGGATCTAGCTATTGTGACTCAATCGTCTCAATTTATACATATCAAGGTTAGACGTGGTGATTCCCACTGGTTCTGTACCTTCGTATATGCTAGCCCTCATCCACAATTCCGTATTGACCTGTGGAGGGAGCTGTGCAGTTTAGCTTCAGGGATTGATCGACCATGGGCACTTATGGGAGATTTCAACGCAGTCCTTAAAAATTTTGAAAGAAGTAATAGCTCTGGATCAAGGAGTCACAGAGGAGATAAAGCCTTTTGTGATTTTGTTCAGCAGAATAATTTAATTGATATTGGGTTCCAAGGCTCTCCGTATACTTGGCGGAGAGGTTCTCTGTTTGAAAGATTAGATAGAGTGCTACCTTCCTATGAGTGGAGAATGGATTTTCCTGAAGCAGAAGTCACTCACCTCAACCCTTTGAAGTCGGACCATGTTCCGGTCCTTTTGAAACTAAAGAATCAAAGAACTTTAAATAGCACCAAGAGGCCTTTTTGTTTTGAGGCTGCATGGTTAACCCACGTTAATTTTAAAGAAGTGGTTAAACAGTCATGGAGAATAAATGGGAGTTGGAATGATAGAGTTCAACACATTCAGAAAGCTTGTTTGGATTGGAACAGGTCAGTGTTTGGTAATGTCTTTTTCCAAAAGAGAAAATTACTTCGTCGCTTGCATGGTATTTCTCGCACACTGTACTCTGGTCCAAACAAATTCTTAGAAAATTTACAAACGAAGTTATGGCAGGAGTTGGAGATGGTATTGCATCGTGAAGATGTCATATGGTTTCAAAAATCTCGCTGCAAGTGGCTGACAATGGGGGACCGCAATACTCGATTTTTTCATGGGTCGACAATTGTGCGCCGGAGGAAAAATAGAATTACAAAAATTATTAATGATGAAGGTGAATGGATAACTGAGCAACCAGAATTGGAGTCCTTTGTTACTGGGTTTTATAAAGAACTGTTTCATGATCCTGGAGGGTACATCCCTTTCTGCCTATCCAATATGTTTCCTTCTCTCTCAAACTCTGAATTTGAGGAGATTGGGAAGGATATGAATAACGAAGAAATCTTTGCAACGATTAAAAGTATGAATGGTTTTAAAGCTCCTGGTCCAGATGGGCTTCAAGCCATTTTCTACCAGTCTCAATGGAATTATATAGGGCAGGAGGTCTGTAACATGATTCGTGATATCGTGGCCCAACCTGAGAAAGTTGCTGAGATTAACGAGACATTTATTACGTTAGTTCCTAAAATGGAGAATATCACCCAGCTTAAACACATGCGTCCTATTGGTTTATGTAATGTCTCTTACAAAATTATCACGAAACTGTTAGCCCGTCGGATTAACAGCATCATGGGTAAACTGGTTCATCCAAATCAGTGTAGCTTTGTTCTCGGTAGAAATAGCAAGGATAACATTATCATAGCACAAGAGGTAATCCACTCCATGAGGTCCAAATCTGGGAGTGTTGGTTGGATGGCTATCAAAATAGACTTGGAGAAGGCATATGATAGATTAAATTGGAATTTTATCAAGGAGACACTGGAGGATATTGGTTTCCCACTTAAAATTATCGAGCTCATTTGGAATTGTATATCAACAGCTAAATTTCGAATGCTCTGGAATGGAGAGATGTTGGAGTCTTTTTCTCCGTCACGTGGAATAAGACAGGGTGATCCGATTTCTCCGTACTTGTTTGTACTATGTATGGAGAGATTATTTCATCTAATCAACATTTCTGTTACTCAAAAGCTGTGGAAACCCATTCGTTTATCTCGAAGTGGGCCTGAACTATCTCACTTGGCTTTTGCGGATGACTTAATTTTGTTTGCGGAGGCTAGGTTAGATCAAGTTGAAATTATCCAAGCCTGTTTGAATCTATTTTGTACCAGCTCAGGTCAAAAGATTAGCCAAGAGAAAACAAGGATATTTTTCTCCAAAAATGTGAATTGGAATGTTAGAAATGAAATCAGCTCGTCATTCGGCTTCCAACGAGCAGAAAACCTTGGGAAATATTTGGGTATTCCCTTACACCATTCAAGAGTGAATCGAGCAACGCATAGTGGCATCATTGAGAAGGTAACGCAAAGACTTAATAATTGGAAAGCTAAGAGTTTATCCTTTGCGGGAAGGTTAACATTAACTAAATCTGTTCTCACTGCTCTCCCTTCCTATACCATGCAAACAGTATGGCTTCCTCGTAATATATGTGATGACATTGATAAGAAGAACAGACAATTCCTGTGGGGCGATACCAGTCATAACAAGAAGGTGCATACGGTAAGCTGGTCGGTAATTTGCCAACCCAAAAATCAGGGTGCCCTGGGTATTCGTAATATGCGAGATATGAATATGGCCTTCATGATGAAAAACTGCTGGAGTATGATCACAGAGAATGACAAATTATGGGTACAAGTTCTGTCATCCAAATACGGATGTTTAGATGGTATTCTACCAAGAATTGAAAAAAAGCAAAAGATATCCAATTTGTGGCGCGGAATATGCGAGGCATGGAACCTTGTGAAGATGCATATTCGATGGATTGTAGGTGATGGTGCATCTGTAAAATTCTGGTTTGATAGATGGGTACCGGGGTTGGAAGCATTAATTCGGGCAGCTTTGTCTTTTGTTCCAGCTGAGGAATTATCAAAAGCAGTTAGAGATTATGTGAATATACAAGGTGAATGGGATTTGGGCCGTATCCAGAGTTATCTTCCCGATGAGATCGTCAACCTTATTAGAAGATTGGATCCTCTTTGTATAGCTGACGATAACGATCGTGCTTGTTGGAACCTTACTAATGACGGTCTCTTCACGATTAAATCAGCATATGAGATAATTGGTTCGATGCAAGCCCCTACTTCTCATCCTATTTTCAAAGTAATTTGGCATTGGAAAGGTCCTGAGCGAATTCGAACTCTTCTATGGAAAATAGCCCATAATAGTCTGCTAACGAATGAGGTTAGAATGAAGTTGGGATTGAATAATAGCTTCTCTTGTGACATTTGCACCACAGGCATTGAGAACACACTACATGTTTTACGGGATTGCCCGTTTGCTGGAGCAGTATGGAAGTAGCTGCTTGGGCAACGTGAGGACGTCCAATTCTTCACTGCAAATCTTCTTGCTTGGTTATTACGTAATTTATTGAAATCTGGGTCCATGTGGGAAGACTGGAATAAGTTGTTTGCGGTAGCCCTTGATAACCTCTGGCATAGAAGAAATCAATTCCTATTTCTGAATGCTAACTCCTCTGTTAATCAGGTGGTAGCGGTAATCAAGGCTCGTGTAGTTTCGTTAGCTGCTACTTGTTCTTCTTTAGACATCCTAGAGTCTCCTTTGCATTTTACAATTGCGCAGCAATGGAGTTGCCCTCCCAAGGGCTCAGTTAAAATTAATTGTGACGGCTCAATCTCTAGATCAGGGGCGGCCTCTTGTGGAGGGGTCATTCGAGACGCGAACGGCAACTTCGTGGTAGCATACTCATGTCAATTGGGTAGATGTTCCATAATCCAATCTGAACTCTGGGCCATTTGGCATGGCCTTCGACTCCTTCAGTATAAAGGTATTAACAGAAGAGCTTTGCTGGAAACAGATTCTTCTACGGCAGTAAAGCTAATACTTGAGGGGTGTCCTACAGCTCACCCATGCTACAACTTGGTACAACAGATTATCTCCCTCCTAGGTCATGAGATGTCCATTTCAATCTCTCACATTTTCAGAGAAGCAAATTTGACGGCTGATTGCTTAGCTAGATATAAAGGACCCATGGATGAAGACTTTCTTCTTTTTAATTCCCCTCCTGATTTCGTTCTTAGTTATTTAGAAGCAGACAAACCTTTCAACTCATCATTGAGTTGTTTGTAATTGGGCTTTAAGCCCCTTTATTTACCAAAAAAAAAAAATATATATATATACTAGCATAAAAAAGGCACTCCGTGCTTGCATTGTATTAAAAGAACAAATAAATAAGAAAAGAAAAATAATGAAAAGTTATTCAAAAAAAGTAGTTATTGAAAAATAAACAAAAGATAAAATGGTTTATATAAAAATGGAAACCAAAAGTAGTTATTGAAAGTGATATCCCTTTTATATATTAATATATATATATATATATATATATATATAAGGAGAGTTT